GCTTATTCTCAATCAGAGAATGCAAACACACTGCACGGCTCTTCCAAAGACAAATTATCTTTCATTTTTAAAAATCCCATCTAATTGTCATTAATCAAGCCATCCCCTGTGCTAATAAGATGGAGGCGGGGAATGGAATGCCATTCCGGCTCAGGCAGCTGTTGCACGTGTCAACCAGTTTCAAAATGCTTGGCAAAAGTTGTAAATGCAATTCTAATGAGATCGACTTGTCTGCAACTAGCAAACAAATACCAGCCGCACCAAAACGTTTGTTTGCCATGGGACTTAATAGAGATTGTGTTAACCGTTCTGCATGCAAGGGTACATGTCAGGAAAAGTTCAGATCAAGCATAAGGCAGTGACACTGGAATGTGGCTTTCTCCAGAACAGTTGCTTATATAAAACCTGAGAAAATGCCTCTCCCTTCTTTTTTCTCCCCCACCCCCCCCGCCCCGTCCCCCCGCCCAGGCCTCTTAACTTTCTGCTATCTCAGTGCATGAAGTTCTTTGCAAAGGCTGCATAAGCAAGCTACAAACGGAAATGTTTTCTGCTGGTATGTTTGAGGATGGGCTCCTGGTAGGGGACAGACTCCTGAGGCACTCTACAGCATCTCTCACCTCCCAGGTACCCCCAGCTGGGAACGGCTCCATCAGCAGCCCAGGGTGGTTGCGGAGAAGAAAAGAAGAGGCACTCAGCTGAGCCACCCAAGGTCTCCAGTATGAGAGCATAGCGCTGAGAGACCAATAAACAGCTTGATCATCCACCAGACCCCACTGCCAAGCTGATTACGGCCGGTTCTCACAAAGCCTGGTTAAACGGACCATTGGTCCAGTGGGGCCGTAATCCTGCTCAGCTAAACCACCTCAGCGGGCCAGGCACCGCAGATGTCACGTACCCATACCTGGGTGGGCACCTAGGTAAGTCAGCGCGTCAGTGCTTCTTGTAGAACCAGCAAGGAGATCACCAAACTTGCGTGGCTGGAGAAAGCCAAGCAACAGAAATATCTAAATTTCAGAGAAGTCAGGTCTCAGGTAAGCCAAAAGCACTTTACCCAACCATGAGGTATCTATAACGCTGCAGCGCAACTTGCAATCTTCCACATCTTGTTCCTCTTCCTCAGCAAAAATGGGAATCCTGGTTTTCAACTTTCCTTCTATGGTTCTTTGATCTGAAGTGCAGAGGACTGGTTGAATTTTTGGTACCGTGACTTCTCTCTTGCCAGTAGCTCTTTAATGTGTGTCTTGTGCCAAAGAATATTAATTATTGTAGGCTACAGTGAAGTCCATCTCTACCCCCGCTTGAGCCTCTGAAATGAACAGTGAAGTTGAACTTTGCCAGCAACTGTTAGGAAAAGGGCCAAGAACAGCCTAACAGGAAAGATACTGAGGATTTTTTGTTTGTTTTTCTGCTAAACCATGTTTTTGTAATTACGAATACTTTGTTGAAATTGCTTAGAAAAGGAAGTGCACGTAAAATGGTCCATACAATTAAACTAACTACATATTAGAGTTGAAAGAACGTAAGGCTTGTCGCACTCTGTTGCACTCACACAGACAAAACTATAGTGAACATAAACTTTTAGAAGCATATATGTAATATATATGTCCTGTCAAGCACTTCCACTTTCCATAGTAACAAGCCCCCTGTACACAAAATGGATTTGACACATAAACAATATTGCTGAAAACACGTCCAAAAATAAAGGAAGGTCTACTGTATTACAAACCTAGTTCTAAGGCCGATTCTGCCCCTGTATGGTCCCTTATATAAGCAACAGTATGCTGCCATTTGGCGGAGATCAAAATAAAGCCTCCCATCTCCTCAATAAACAGCACCACAAAGCACATCATAGTGGGAAACCGGTAAACTATGCATGACTGTTTTTACCCACACCGTGTGTAATTGCGTTGAAGCCTGCGGTAGCAGCTAACTATTGCCATCTTAAGGCGGCCCTTAGTCTTGCTGCAGACGAAGGCCAGCTCGCTGTTGCTGCTACTGTGCACTGTTCTTCTTACAGCCCCCCTCACTTGCAAGTTCTTGAACGAGCTGGTTAGAAGCGCGTGAGCGCGCTCCAAAATTAGTCAAATCCTGCAGTACAGCTCTCTTGAAACACACAGTTAACGTCTTTAATATTAAGAAAAAGTAGTGCAAGATAAACATTTTCCCTCTTCCTTCTTTCTCTTACATAAAATTGTTTTGAAGACATCTAATCCCTGGCCAAGTAGATCTGGCAATCCCCAGGCCTCTGCTTCTAGCAACCCTAAGTGGTACCGTTGCATTTGTTTTGCCTAGCTGTACCTCTAGAGCCTACCGGCCTGGACAGCTCTGTAACCAGAGAGCGCTCAAAGTGCTTCTTAAACTATTAATTTACATTGTAGACATGGTGCGAGATGACTGCTGACCCGATTTATACGTAGGAAGTACAGGCACGGACGTAAGGAGAGCTGCAGCCAGCCAGGGCATTCCTACCTTCCAGCCCTAGGTGATGACAATCTTTGCAAACAAAGCTAAGTAACTTTGTGGATTTAAAAAACAAAAAACCTCTTGGTACCTTTTATCTGTAGGACACATCTGACATCTGTAATTTTTGGATGTGTTTTCATACTAATGAGCAAGCAAGTAACTTCCAGCTGAGCAGCCCGTGAAGAGTTTTGTACTCGCACATCTTCTGTCACTCCTGCAACTCCTGACTCTGAGCACGAGCAGTGGTGACATCAGGGAAAGGCACAACCAGGCAGTTAAAGACAAACTGGGAGACAAACCTTCCCACCTCACTGCTTCCAGACCCACCCACGGAGGGAGTGAACGCAGTGCTACCTTCTGTAAAAGAAATTTGGTATTTTCAGCCCAACGGGCCTGTGAAAAAGCTTCCATCCGTGGCTGGTTCTCCAGCCAGATGTACTCTGCGGGGAAATGGAAACCTGAAAAGGATACAAAACGGCCACCCCATCTGCACAAGTGCTCCAACAGGACAGCACCAACACACCGGGGCAGGAAAACGTGCATCCTCCGTACCGGCTGTTGTTTCTCTTCCGAGATTGCAAATGAGACCTGAACACTCCAATCACCTCGTATTTCTCCTGAAACAACTTACCGAGACAGGCCTAGATGCCTCAAACGAAAACAGGTCATTCCCAAAATCTGTTGGACATGCATTTATTTTGGATGTAAAATTCACCCTTAAATATAAAAGCATCCAATTTTTTTTTTTTTTTTTTAAATTTAATCAGTGCAACTCTCCTACACATGTGGCATCCTGTAAGAACATTAAATTAATTCAGGTACAAATTAGATAGTTCCCCTCGTTTGTTGCCCTTCCCTTCACTGTTTAGATCTTGCATATTGCAAACAGACTTGTCCCAAAGGCAGGCATGTCAACGTGTTACCTTCAGCTGCTTTTCTTTGCAACTTAAATACTATTCGGTTTCACTAGACTTCACCAACTCTGCATAAAGCGTTCAACAGAAATCTGGTATCGAAGATAGCCGAGCTTAAAGTGCTTTAATTGAGTTTTGTAGAAGTAACAGAGCACGCATTTAATTTGGTATTGCCGATTTGTACGTTAAATATACACAAGCTTTCTGTTCTTAGAATTGCCGCACCCTGTGCGGTTTGCTCAGTACAGAGCAGCGTATAGCTACAGTCGTTCACACGACTAACCTTGCCCACGTAAGATGACTTTTGCAAATAACGTTAAACGTCCCATTAAGTTACCTGAACCCATCTGGAAGTTCTGACTCTGCGACCAAGTGACTTCAGCCCCAGTGTTACTCAGATTGGGATGCTGTGCTCCTTCCCCATTGCCCCACCACCCAGGGATGAGCTCTTCCCTCCTTCCTCTGCCCAACAGTGGCACCCAGCGGCCAAGTGTTTTCAGGAACGCTTTGGGAAACGGCTACTGTTCCCAGTTCCCACTCACTGGATTTCCTCAACACAGCTAGAGTCAGTTTAAACGCACTCGCTGTTTGACTATCGAGGCTCAGAATGCTACCCACTATTTAAACTGTCTGGAAAGCCTGCGACTGCCATCGCTGGTGAAGACTAGCCAGAGCCAAGAAAAATCCCCAGCACCTGAAATGCTGCACACAAGGCAGTCGGCCACCTCCAAACAGGAGACAAGGTTACTCTATGGTCAAACGCATCAACAAAATAGTTCTTAAAAAACAAGTATGCCACCTCGAGCAACAAGATATTTCATATGTCCTTTTCTAAATAGCTACAGACTGTGAAAGGGTTCCTGGGCAGGAGAAGATTATTTTGCCCTTGATGATGCAGCTCTGCTTTTCTAAAGGTCCCGGTACTCAAACCAATTTCCAGGAGCGCTACGCAGCACGTCAGACAAACAGTCTATGCTTGATGCAGTTTCCCAAGAATCAAAAGCAGTAGTAGGGCTAACAAAGCCCCCAGACGCTAACAGGCATTCAGGAATCTCCATACTAAGTTATTTTCCATCAGTAGCCAGAAAGGGATGATGCTTCAGATTTTGGGCATTAACCAAACAGAAACACATAGAGATGAGCCCAGATGCAGAGTCCAAGACTAAACTCTGGAAGATTCCATTAAACGTTCTTCCCTCCTGCACAGAGAAATGGGTTTAGGTGGCTTTCTAGTCTCTGTAAATAAACACAGAGAGGTCAAACGCCACAAGAGCATGTCAGAGAAAGAGAGAGAAAATAGGAAAAGCAAGCTATGAACTGCAGAGAAGGCAGCACGAACACAACAAATGCTTTTCCCACTAAACCAAGGCTGAACTGAAAGCATTATCAGAAAAGTCTGAGGGCCTAAATTTTAATAAGTTTAAAACTCCTCCATATTGTAGCATAAGGGATTGCGAGAAGGGGACTAAACTGACATTGGAATTAGATTGATCAATAGATTAAGATGAGATGAACAAAACTGACTTATAACTCTCAGCCGCTTCCTTACCATGAACTGCTCTGGTTTCTAAACCACACTATCACTTCTAAGAAAGGTAGAAATTATTCAGCATTGCAATAGTCGAACTTCTTGAAAAAATTTAATAAGACAAATGTCTTCATAATACAGGTACATTGTACATCATAGATTACGTGTTTATCGGTGAACTGAATTAGTCTTTTCGTAACTGGACACTTTCCTCTTTAATTCCATCTTTTGTGACAATGCAAATCTTAAGTGCATCCCCAGTGTACACATCTCTTTCAGCAGCAGAAATAAAGACATCTTTAACCAGCTGCAAAGCCTTCTCCAGGGTCAGAGGTACATGTTCCACGTTTTGCATGTTCTTGAACCCAATCTAAGAAAAGACGAAAACACATTTTAAAGGAAGTATGATCCATCTAGCACGAAAGCTGTTTCAGTCTCTGCACTAGAAAAAGCAGATTTAGACAACTTAAAAAGAAGAAAAAGTTGGTCTGTTTTAGAAACCCAAAGCTGGCAGAAGTACTCCTCCACACAATTGACAGCTACATGATCAGAACTTTGCCAATGCTGATCCTCTCACAGAAGTACCTAGAAGCAGACCCAGCAGACAGCCAGCATCGCTCCTCCCACCCATTCAGCACATACGAGATCGCAATGAACATTCAGATCCAAAGTGATTTAATTCTTCAGAAACCTCTCACTGGGTTAGCAGTATCAGAACTGCACACAAGCTTTTCTCCAGCCATTTTGTAGCTAGGAACATTTCTTAAAAGCAAATATTCCTAAATGTACCTAGAATTCAAAAATAATGGTCTATATTGACTTAACCGGTCCTATTAAATAGTGTATTTTAGCTGATAAGCTTAAGTGTCCGCTTAAGCAACAGAACTGGAAAAGGAGGGGAAGAGTCACTTACTATGCCTCAAAATCATAAGTGATAAAAAGCAACTTATGACAACTTTGTTTCTGCAGAAGGTATTTTATTTTCTTCAGTTAAGAGTTCAAAACTAAGTGAAAGCTGAGAACCTGGAGTTATTTGAGGTGGGGGGGGGCGGGGCAGGGAAGGAAAGATTCTGTTCCTTTCTCAGCTAAGAACTAAGAGTCCTTACAGCTTTTTTAAGCGCAACAGTTGTGTTGACATCAGGCTCAACCGACTAAATACCAATGCCAGTATCAGAGAATAAAATGAGTAAAACACGGTTTGGTATTTCTCTCATTCAACAGTTAACAGCTTCAATTAAATATGAAAATGTTCTTCAAGAATTTTTAGACAGATTTAATTGAATAAGTTTCCAGCAGTTTTATGTAAGAACATTCTTAGAAAATGGTGTTCAAGTTGTACAAAACTTAACACTTTTAAACAAGCGTATATTAAGTGATAAAATGTATTATATACACCTACTAATTCTATCTTCTCAATTTAGTATTATTTCATGCTAAGTAACAGGCATATTTATGTTATCAGCTGCGGGGGGGGGGGGGGGGAAAGAAGACCAAAACGCTCCGTC